TGCAATACGAGGAGGGTACTAAGGTCGTTTCTTGATATTCATGAGTTATATGACAGGTTACTATGGGTAACTTGAGAGGAAAGGACCTAGTAAACAACGGAGACAGTACCGGTCTTTCTTGAAATTCATGTGTGATAAGGCAGGCTCTTAAGGAAAGGTCTGACAAGAAAGAATATACCGGGCTTACGAGTTAAACTGCTGGTTGACGTAGAATAGGCTAACTTAGGCAGGGGGGAGGGGTGGTATATCCTTCCTCAGGGAAGTAATCAATGCCGCCCACTCGGACCTTCCACCCATCATGGGGAGGAGCGTGCGTGAGTAATGTTTGTATTCAGTTATGACTTGCCGGGGGAATAGGAACCGGACTGTTGCTCCCCAGAATGGCAGGAGCCAGAACCGAAAGGTTCTGTTAATTTAAAAAAAAAAAGAAAAAAAAAAAGGGGTTGGTTTTCGTGGAGATGAACACATTCAGTCGTTGTCCATTTTTCCTGAAGAACCAGATGTCCGGGAATTTGGGTGGTGTGCCGGATGACACTTCGAGCATTAGCTGCTCCTGAACCCAGCAAAAAAAAATAATTGCAACTTTGTGCCATCCTAGAGTAGTCTGTTCCAGCGGTGAATGATTAGAATTCTGTTCATCATACACCTCTCCCCTGCCCTTTGCATGTCATACTCTATCCTGCCCTTCACATATTTCTTTCCTGCCCTTTGCCCCCACCTCCCCTGCCCCATACTCCTAAAGAACTCTGCCTTCTATCCCTTTCCCTCCGCCCTCCCCTCCACTCCCTTTGTGCTACTAACAAATACATACGAATGAGCATCGTCAAGAGAACAAACAATATGAAGATCAGAAATGGAATGAAAGGCAGCAAGAAGATGAAGGACGGACACAAAGACTAAGTATAAGCTGAAGATCTGAAGTGAAATGAACAGGAGTATGAAGGTCTGAAGAGAAATACACAGGAGCATACCTTCCCATCAACGTGGGCAGCCTTGTACGTAAGAGGCACAGTAAAAGGGGAGCTGCAAGAACAAATGGAAGGGGTACCCCAAGGACGACCAAAAAACTGTCTAATTATAAAATTGCTTTAATATGTTGGACTGTCTCATCTCAAATGCTCTTGTTGTCTGCAATAGGACAAAGACTGCTTTGATTCTGAATCTATTCATCTGGGTGGGATTGGGGCTGTTGTGGGGAAAATCTATAACACAC